ACCAAGATGGTTAGCTCAAGTTGAGTGAATGAAAACGTGTTTCTAGCATCCAATACAGCAGCACTTGTTCCTGTAATCACCAATAAAACCTTTACTGGGAAAAAGCTATCGGGAGTCTTTCATCAATACACCTGATCAAAAAACTCCAACGAGAAGAAAAGCAAACTCTGTAGCTTCTCCTGTTTATTTTATACAGCGAATAATTCAAATCAGTTCAGTTTTATTTATACAGTGCCAAATCACAATAACAGTCGCCTCAAGGCACTTTATATTGTAATTGTAAGGTAGACCCTATAATAATACAACAACCCAACAATAATAGAACCCAACAATCATATGACCTACTATGACAAGCACTTTGGCAACAGGAAGAAGGAAAAACTCCCTTTTAACAGGAAAAAACCTAGAACAGAACCAGGTTCAGGGAGGGGCGGCCATCTGCCGCAACTGGTTGGGGTGAGGGGAGAAAGACAGGACAAAAGACATGCTGTGGCAGAGTAAGAGATAAATAACAAGTATGATTCAATGCAGAGAGGTCTATTAACAAATAGTGAGTGAGAAAGGTGACTGAAGAAGAAATACTATATGCTTTACCAAAAAGAAAAGACACTGTCTCTACTTTCAAAATTAGGCTTAAAACTGTCTGATGAATCCAAATTTGAAGCTGGTTTAACAGAAGAGGGGCCTGAAAACTGAAGGCTCACTGCCTCTCATTCTGCTCATAAATACTCTAGAAACTCTAGAAAACATGTAAGCCTGCAGTCTGAGAGCAAAGTGCTCTAATGGGGTGATTATTCAATAATCTGCAGTAAGCCTTCAGAAGTTGTATTAAAACAGATGCGGATGACCTGTTAACTTAGTCTAATACTAGACTTGTTAAATTATACAGCTTGCTGAAGGCTGACGGCAGCTTTTCTATTGTATATGGAAGTGATACATGCAGCAAACAGGGGTGGGTGTAAAGGGTGGATGGGGTGTACTTGGTCCATGTACATTTTACATATACATGGACCATTAAACTTTGAGCCACTGACCTGAGGGTTGTTAGGTTAGACGCTGAATTAATATTATTAATATTAATATTAATTAATGTGTACATGCTCGTAACATGTTTTCAGCACAAAACATGTCTGCTATTATTTTCAGAAAACCTTCCAAAAAGACAGACTGAAGGTACATTTTTATGCCTTTGTTTAGATTATGTAGTTGATATTTGACTATACTTGAGATTATTTATATAATTTTTGCATTTAAGAAAACGCTGTTTCCATGTTTCAATTAAACATAATGAGTTGAAGTTGGCACTGAGCTGCAGGGATCCAGATGTTTAACAGTATCACAGCTGAGCTGCTGTAGAGCCAGATGGATTCCACTGACACAGATTCCTTAGGGCTGTGCTTCATTCTTTATATATGTCTTGGGTCAAAAGCTGAGTCCACACTATGCTTTTCGAAATATGCATTTCTTACTCTAAATAAACAGGGCAACTTGTCTCCCCTCTGCTAGGAAACAGATTTATCAATTACAGACACTATTCAGTTGCCCGTGAACGTTAGTATATGGTTTGACTAAGCTGCTGTTATATGCTGAAATTTTCAGGATTAGTCATTGAACTAACACCAGTGTTAGCTTGCTGTTATTGGAAAATGGTAAGGTTAACATCAAAGTGTTATCCCATATTGCCTTCATTATATCTATATTCAAAACTGTGCAATGTCTGCAAGAATGTTCACAATATTGCCAAAAGTATTCACTCATCTGCTTTCACATATTGGCCTACCCTTTTCCCTATAACAGCTTCAAATCTTCTGGGAAGACTTTCCTCGTGGTTTAGGAGTGTGTTTACACCTGAGTTGAAATGAGCCAATAAGGACTCCTATTAGGCTAAGAGGTAGTGGCAGGCCAAGATAATTATGGCTCTGGTAGTAACTGAAGCAAACATTCATGTGTGGAAGGCCCTCTCCCTTGCCACCTCCTCCAGCTTGTCTGGGAGAACACCAAGGCGTTTCCAAGCCAGCCGAGACATGCAATCTCTCCAATGTGGGTCTGCCCCGGGGTCTTTTCCCAGTGGGACATGCCGGGAACACCACACTGAGGAGGCGCCCAGGAGGCAGATGCTGGAAGCACCTAAACTGGGTCCTTTCGATGTGGAGGAGCAGCTGCTCTACTCTGAGCCCTTCCCAGATGGCTGAAATTATCACCCTATCTCTAAGGGAGAGGCACTGTGTCCCAACCTATCATTATACGTGATTCTGAGATTCTAAGAGAAATGGTATTAAGTGTGTTGTAATTGTTATTGTTGTTGTAACAGAATCATAAGCCCCTTTTTTTCATTAGTACCTACCCGGATCGATTAGCCACAGATCAACACAACTCGACTCAGCTCAACTGGTTTTCCATTACAACCCAGTACTACCCCGTGTGTGCTTGTTGTCATAGCAACACATCTGCACGTCCTGTGACGTAATTAATATGCGACAAAGGTGGACATCAAGCTAACGATATACCTGCTGCTTGGGCTGTGGTTTTTCATCAGACTCCAGGGAACACAGCAGTGTTTTTTTGGAGCCATTTCCCTCGTTACCAGTTTCAAAAATTGTGGTTTTGATTTTTTGAACGAGACACTAACCAGCCAGTCAGTGGCATGCAATCTGACCACGTCACATTTATTACCTGCTCAGATTGCTTGAGCCCCGGCCGAGTAGGTACTAATGGAAAAGGGGCTATAATTTATGTGTGGTTATGCAGACGGTTAACCGTGCTTAATTGCTTAATACTGATCAGAATATGATCAGGTCTAAGTTTAAACTATATAACTGTCATGGTCCTGGGTCGGTGACCCAGCGCTTTGAGTTTGTTATTATTATTTTCTAGTTTATTCTGTTTTTGTATTGGTTGTTGGGGTTTGTAGTGTTTATTTTCCCTACCTGTGTCTCCCTCTGTGCTCTGTACAGGTCCCCGAGTTTTGTGTTGTAAAACAGTCTGTGTGTTTCCTGTTTTACTTTGTAGGTCTGTGTCTCGTTATGCCCATTAGTTCCAGCTGTGTCCCCTCTTGTGTGCCATTTCCTGATTACCTGGTGTGTGTATTTATAGTTGGTGTCTGCCTGTGCTTCTCGTTGCGTCGTCTGTGTTCATTCCCTATGTTTCCCTACGTCTCTCTGGTCTGCCGTCCTCATCTGCTATCTCTGAGTTTCTCCCGCTGACCTTATGTTCCAGGTTTGTTTGTTAGTTTCACCCAGTTTAGGTTTATGTTCTGTTCTGCCCTCAGTTCTGTTATTTTCACTGTAAATAAACCTCCACTCACATCTCCATCATTGTCTGCTATTGGATCCTCCTTTCTCACCCTCCACACGACTGCCGCCCCAGCCGTGACAATAACGAATAGCACTGTTACCTCACAGCAAGAAGGTGCAAGTTTGACTCCACCATCTAGCTGTGGCCTTTCTATGTGGAGTTTGCGTGTGTTCTCTTTTCCCTGTCTCTCTGTGTTAGCCCTGCAACAGAGTGGCAATTATCCATCTGTCTTGCCATTTGGTAGCTGGGATAGTCTCCTGCGACCCTGATAAGGATAAGCAGGAGAGGATGGATGGATGGATTTTAATAACGGGCCTCTCACTCACACTCTTTGTCTTCTGCGAGAGGAGCAGTTCAGAAGACAAACTTTGAACTCTTGGATCTAGGAGTTTACAGTTGAAATTCCAGCAGAGACATCAGAGGAATCAACTGCTGTCCAAACTCTGAACTTAAAAACCTATTTTGTGCTTTTTGGCTTTTTCTCTGCTCATTTTTGCTGTGCTAGATTATAAGTCTAAAACAGCAATAGGATTTCTATTGTTTTCCTGCTAGATTACA